ACCTCCTTCCCCAAACACCTGAAACCTGTACAGGCTCCTGCTGTCATAGTAGTCACGTGTTTTCCATGCAAGAACTGAAGTAGAGGAGGATCTGTAAATAGGAAACCAGCTCTGTCAAATACCTACTTTTCCTCTGGATATCTTCAGTCTTTGGGATGGAAGAATGTCCTGAGGGCTTCTAGAACTGCTAAACAAAGTGACAGAGCTGTAGATACAGCATCAAACTGAAGAGCTACTTTGTCTTCCTGGTCTGTTTGTTTGCTGTGTTGTATTTCCCCTCTGCCACCCTTCAGCTCTGAGATGATCTGTAGGAAATTTATTCAGTGGAAAAAGGCTTTCTTTACCAAAAAAATAATATACATCCCTATTTAAAGCAACAGTGTAGTAGTATAAATCAGATGTATTACCTGCGTCTTTTGAGATGGTCCAAAACTACTTCCAAAGTCATCTTTAGGTGACTCTCTAAAGATCCATTCAAGTCTGTTTGACATGATTACCTTTTTGTGCAGGATACAGGGAAAAATGTGGAAGTTGCTTTCAGTAGCAGAGCAAATAGAAGCCTCCCCTGCATCAGAGAGGAGCATTCATGACTTTACCTTGAAAGAAAAGTCATGGCAGCTCATGCTTCTTCGTGAGAACAGGGGGAGAGTAAAGGAAAGGGTTTTAGCAATTCAGATTTTTTTTCTTATAGGTACTTGTTATCAATTAGTACCATGTTTATGTACATTTTTTTTCTTATAGTTTATCATGCAATCTACTTAGAAGAAATGGCAGCCTCAGAAGTCACACGCAAGCTTGCTTTGGCATTTAATATTCCTTTGCATCAGATCAACCAGGTTTACAGACAGGGTCCCACAGGTATCCACATCCTTGTTAGTGATCAGGTAACGGAAATCTTATTTTCTTGACACATTTTATTTATGAATTAGATAGAATGGAGGAATTTCTTCTTTATTACTGCTTTTTATGTTTGATAATGCAACCTAGTATTCTCTGACATTTACAGTGGTATTTCCTTTACGTTAAAATAAGCAGAAGGATCGCTGAAATGTGTCTCTTCCTCTACCTGAATAAATTCTAAGTTATGAGAAGAGAAAGGCAAGCGGTCTGTATAGTTCTGAGATGCTGCAATAATTACTTAGTATGTGTTTATTTTGACAATACCCAAAGGCAGGGAGCATGTAAATACTGTTGAACTTGGCTTATTCAAGCATCTGCTATACCCATTTAGGGGTCCAAAACCACAGCCAGCAGCAGCAGGCTCCCAACTGGTTGTCACATGATTAACAAGTAGCATTTTGATAGTAATGTATTTTAATTTGGTACGTGCTTGACACTTGCTGAATAAAAAAAAAAATACACAATTGCTTATAAAAGGCTGTGTTTAATATCTGATGTATTTGGTTTTTGCACTGGTCATACTCAGGAGGGTTTCAGAACTTTTTCTGCTTTTTTTGTAGATGGTTCAAAACTTTCAAGATGAGAGTTGTTTCTTATTCACCACAATAAAAGGTACAGTGTCTTTTCTGACAGTCTAAAACATAACTGTTTTATTTTACCAGCCTTCTTTAAAGCAGAATGCTATTCTAGTAAACCTTCTCCAAGTAGGGAGTAGCGGCAGTTCTAGTGAAGGCTGACTTGCAAAAAAAAAAAAAACAAAAAACCCAAACAAACAAAAAAAACCCAGGAAATCTGTGTACAGTAGTGGCAGAAAATATGCAAGAGTTCCTCCTCTGAGCCAGCCCTTTCAGCCTTGGCATAGCACCTGTCTTTTCTCCAAGCTTGCAGTTCAGAACCAGTGCAGCACTCGGTAACAAACCTCATTTAAAATTCAGTTGACCGTCACCAAACAGTGCTTGCTGTCATGGTCAACAATCAATAATTGTTGCAAATGGTGAAGTTTAACAATAATTAAATAAAAATCCTGGCAGAAGTACCTCTGAAGTTCAGAAACCACCTGTGTCCTGCGGGTAGGGTTCTGTTCTTTGCTAGTGAGTAATCACCTTCTGTAGGTTGTTGCTGTTGGCAGGACGTGGCCATTTTGGTGGGAAGGCTACAGTGTGCTGCCTCTGCCTGGCAGGGACTCTTGCCATGCTGCTGGTTAGCGTCAACTGGTAGACTCGAATGGGAACGTTTCCAGAACAAGCTCCCCCCAGCCCCTGTGCTGTCACACAGGTGCAGTTAGAGGGGGCTGCAGCCAGCCCTCATCCACAAAGATGGCTGTCAGGTTTCCTCGGTGGGTGTTGTGAGTCTCCCTCTTAAACACCTGGTGTTTCAGATGAATCCTGCTCTCTGAGGAGTCCAGTTTATTTCTAGTAAAAGGTGCCAGGAAATTGTTACCAGCAGTGGACAAGTCTGACGTGTGCAAATTTTACCTACAGAAACTGTCCCAGCTTTGCAGATGCAATTACAAATCGTTAATCATAACAGTTTTGTAGAAAACTGTTAAAGCTGTGTTTTTGCTGTAGATAGGCTGTAATTTTTAATGCATGCTTCACTTTATCATCCTAACTTTTCAAGCATCCTAGCTTGAAACTTATTGTTCTGTGTATAAAACCTGCCCCCATGGTTAGTGACTGTTAGAGGCCTGCTTGTCTGCATTGTTAAGCCTTCTGAGGGTACTGCTGGCATCAAAACTACAGGGGTGGTTTGTTTCACCATTTCCATTTGGCTTTCTGGTTTAAGGCTGAGCGTCACAAAATCGATGCTTAAAAACATACACTAGGGATTTATATTGGTCTTGCAGAAGCTCACTTCAGTCATGCTGTCACTGTCAAAGGAGGTGGGTTTAATATGTAATAGGAAGAGTTCAGAAGTAATTGCAAAGCAGTGAGATTTTAAAAAGCTAGTTATTCTTCAAGCGTTTTGTCTGAATAGCAAGTTACTTCACATTTCAAGTTGAATATTTCGTAGTAGTAATGAACCCCTTCTACAGAGTAAAAACCAAGTCCATGCTCTGGTGTTTTGGTGCATTGCCTAGCAGATTTATGATTCTGTTTATGGAAGACTGATGTGGGGTTTTTTTTCTTTTTCAGCTGAAAATGGTGAAGGCTTCCATATAATTTTGAAGTGACGATGTCACACGATTGCTAGACTGATACTCCAACGCCGAATGAAGTCCTGCCTAAAGATTATGAAGATCATCCGAAACCTTAGGATCTAACTTCACCGTATAAGATGTTTCATATTGAAAACACAAAATGACCTTTCTAATGAGCTGTTTGATAGGTCAACTTTCTTATCACTGCCATAGCTAAGTGTCCTCATGAGAGGTATAATGCCATGACAGCTTACGTACAGGCATGGAAGACAATGTAAGCAAAGGTGCTTGCCCTTTACTGAAATAAGGCAACTTATGGCCAGTAGATACAGTTTCTAGAAGCCAAGCACTGGTGCTTTTCTATTACCTGTATCCAGTTGGAGATGAATGTAAACTTATTTTGGGGCATTTACCTTTCTGTGCCAGTTTGTCTATTACTTGCTTGTACCTTATGCTGGTTTTATTTTTTGATGTTAGCAGAGCACATATTAATCTGTGTGGAGATGAATAGTTAAGCTGATAGTGATCAGGTTGTTGGGTCTTTGAGAGTAAAGCTGTCAAAACAGCTTCCCGTGTAAATTGTGTATAAGAGTGTATGTAAGAAGTGTAAATGCCAGAACAGGGCTTGTAAGAAGCCCTCGACAGATGCAATATATGCATGCAGCAAACTGCATTAGCAACAGTACCTTATTGGAGGGATTAATATAAATCCTGTGGGGTACCAAGTAATTGTGTTTTGCTTTAACAAATTTAATGGAAAAAAAAATGCCTATGCATCCTTTATGTTTAGTTTCCTAGGTTCTCTGCGGAGCACTGCTGCATTTTAACTCTTTGCTTGTACAATTGTGGGTTTAAAAATACTAGCAGTGAGGGGTGGCTTTTAAGACTTTGTGGAATTACGCTGATGAGGGAAGATGACCCACTGGCACCACAGGGCTTTCACAGCTTTCAGCAACATCAAATAAATTGCTTAAGAAACACTAAATATACACCCTTTAAGTCTCCTTCCCAGCAGGTCAAGGCCTTGCTGTAGTTGCTGTTATGGACAAGTACCTTACCCTTCTCTCTTGACCTTTCTTTGCCCTCTGCTCTATACTGTACAGCTGTTACAGTGCCTCTTCCATATCACCAAATATTTACTTTTCTTTGAAACAGGCGATGTGCTTTTTCAATATTTTGGGTATTTCTTGTAAAGACACAGCACAGCATCTCTTATGTTGATGTTAAGTTTCAACTGGTTAGGTACTTAGAGGGGGATCCTTCAAAAGGTATGAAGTGACAGTTTCTGAGCTGTCCTTCTTGTGCCTTTCAAAAGTTCCACCCTGATCTCTGGCGTAAAAGCTTGGGAATAGTTTGCCTCTGATGCTGCAGTGTTCAGTGTAAACAACTACTACAGCATGTAAAAAAGCAACTTTGATTTTTTTTCATTCCCTCTTCTCATAACTGGCTTAAGTGCTTAGCAGAAAAGCTTCTTAAAGCTGTAGCATTTTGAGAATTTAAATTCATCAAAGCTAGAGTTTTCTTCCTATTTTTACTTTTTCTGCACTGAAAGTAAAATTTTATGTACTTAAAACATTTCTGCCTATAAGTAAGTTGTTCATCTTTGGGTATTGTTTGGTCCTAGTATTTTCTTGAACTGACACTTGTGTCTTTTCAGCTCACACCATATTCAGATCCAAATGTTTTATAAAAAGGTGGAAAAATCCTTAAGTGGAAAGTATCCAAATACCTAATTTTAAAGATCGAAAGTTGCACAGTAGTTTGTCCAGCTCACTTGAAATTGGATTTAAATTATGGCACCAGCAAATTGCTTTTGTTTTTTAATAAGATGTACACATTTCAATTTAAGTATAATAAATGTTTTTCAATAATTTTGTAAATGTGCTTTTCTTTCTGTTTACTTCCTGCCCACACACACCTTAGAGATACTTTTGGTGTTCAGATTAACTGCACAACCTACCCTAGCACCACTGGCAGGTAAACGTAAGTAATGGAAGCAAACCAGCTTAGTCCTTTATCCTGTGCCCAACACACGCATGTTGATCTTCTGCTTCTAATAGAAAACTTGGTTAAATTTGAAATAATTGAAACAAATCCAAATGTGACATCAGCTGACTGTTTATTTAAGTGTCCTATATCAGAGTAGGTTCCATTTGTTTCTGTACATCTTCAATGCAATAGACTTACAAGGTTCATTATGTTCTTAGAAAAAAAATGAGCCAACAAAAGGCAACACATCTTGACAATACTGGTACCAATGATTTTCCTGGTACAGTTGAGAATAAAATCTGCTTAAAACTCTCCATTACTGCAGTATTTTAATGGAACTCGAAGTACAATTGTAACGACACTCCTCCACTATGGCGCAAAACAAGCCCTGATTGGCTTATTTTGTAGTAGCAAAGAAATCCACGTACTGCACGCTAATCTGTAATTTAACCTCCCAAATTGAGGTCTTGCTTTACCATCCCCATCATCTGTGAAGCACAAACACAACCCAGCCGTTGTTATCCACAAAAGTCCCTTATTGTTCACACTTCTTTTTAAAGAGTAGGTAAAGTTTTTGGGGGAAATTGCAGTAATAGCTTCTCCAACTGCTTTACAAGCCAGCGTTTCTATTAGTTTTCAGTAAACACACAGGCCCTGAACTCTTAAAACGTACACACACACACAACCAATCTTACACAAAAAAGCTTTCTGAACTGTTATCTCAGATAATTAAGTTGCTTAATATAAAAAAAGTTTATTTTTTCTAACCCTCTAGTACTGAAATCTAAGGATGAAAAGCATGGCCTTAAGAGTTAATACATAGATTTTATTATCATTCAGAAGGTGACGGCTTCTTAAATAACCCAAATGTGAAGAGTCTGGCTTTCTACATTTGAAAACCACAGGTTTGGTTTGGTTCACCTCCTGCCTACAGCTTTGTTTGCCCGTCTGCTTGCTGTGTCCCTAAAGTGGGTGGCACAAAGGGCTGGAACCAGATTCCTCGCTCCAGCCTAGTGCCGGTAGCTGAGCCTGGTTTCCATTCTCCAGCTGTAGAAAAGCCTGAGTAACACTCCTCATCCTAGAACCACTGCCTCCTGTGTCCCTACAGAGGGAGGAGGTCACTGAGGACAGGCAGGAATGGCGTTACAGGAAGCACCACCTCTGCTCGTGGCAGCCCACTATGGCTGAGTCCAGGAGCTCTACCCCAGGGGGTTTCTTACCCTTTTTAAAGGCCGATGGCATTGGGCATAAAATGTGCTTCAGTGACGGGCAAGCCTTATACTAACACCTAGTTCAACTGAACCAAGTTCCAAAACTTGGAAAGTGTTTCTATTTATACAGTTAGCTTGAGGTACTATCTAACCTTTTGACATTACCTATTATGTCCTGTAATGTAATTAAATATGAAGCTGAATCATGAAAAAGTACAAGCTGTTTTGCTGTAAGAGCTCATGATTACCTTGCGTTTTTTGGTCAACATCTGCTAAAGCTTATTTGTCCTTAAACCTGGTATTTAATCTGTCATGTATAGTACAGGACAGCAGGTTCAGTTCCTGGGTGTGATGGACTTGAGCCCCACGTTAAGTTAGAACTTCACACCGCGTATAGTGCTTATAAACACAAATTCACTTCCAAGTTCAGTGAACTTTCACCAAGTAGCTGCTATGCTGAAACGCCCGCACATTGTACACGGTACTTCAGTTCTCATGCCAACAGAAGGAAGGAGTTACTAATACAAACCGAAGCATCACCAACTTAATCCACAGCTGCACATTACGTTAAGATTTTTACCTGGAAAAAAATGCTTTTCTTGTCACAAAACTGGATGACCAAATACCACCACTAGGACTGTCAGGAAACCGACCCCTTCCACTGACTTGCAGTCCCATTCTTTTCTTCAACAACAACAACAAAATTTTCTGTGTGGTTGCACTTACTGTCAGAGAATAATACAGCATCTGCAGAGGCGCTGTCCGCTCCCTCCTACCGAAGGAGGGGGAGTTACCGGAGCAAAGTAAGCATGAACTTTCACGTGAGGTAGATGAGCCTGTGAGGGAAAAGTCTGCATTACAATGGGAGAGAACGAACTTGTAAAAAGAAGCAGGACACCTCCCTTCCTGCCAACAAGCAGGCTCTCGCTGAGGTCGGTTAGCTAAAAAGAAAGCATCTACAGCCTGGATGCTACCCAAGCTGTCTTCTGAGGTGGAATTCTCATGTCCCAGCCAGCTAAGGCACGCTCACACACAGCATTCCCCTTAGCACCGAGCAGCCCGGAGAGGCACCGGCTCTGCTGCAGGGCAGAGGTGCAGCCTGGCTACTGGAGGCAGACTTGTCTGTATCTTGTTTCTCCTACTCCCTGCTTCTCTCATCCTAAAAAGCAGCATGGAATAGAACTTGGTTCTTCTAAACATCTGCCCTCATTAGTCACTCTCAGGGATGAGCTTTCTAATTGCAAAATCTGGGATACGAAGCTACAGTCAGGTTTAACAGCAAAGCTAAAACGCTGCCCCCCGAGGTAGGCGGTCCCTGGCCTCCTGGGGGAGGCACACAGGGGAGAAGTTTGTGGCTGGATACCAGGGCCTAAGAGCCCTACAACCTCCCATTAACTGAAATTGTGCAGGTGTTTTGCTATTGGCTCTGTATGTTAACATGTATTTCAGGAGAGTTAAAGAACACCACTACAAAATCCTAAAACATAGAAGCCTGTACTTGAAAAAATACAGAAAGCAAAAGACAAGTACTCATCATTCCAACAGCAAGCATGTCATGAATTACAAGCAAAATTAGACAATTATTGCTGCCCATATAGAAAATCTACGTTTAATCCCTAGAGATGGGGACCTAACAATGATATTCAGACTGTTTTTCCATCCTCCCTCGCCTGGGCCATCTGCAGGGTTCATACAATCTCAAGAAGCACCAAGGGCTCGGGCATTCCCACAGGGACAAGTCAGCAAACACCTACTCTGATCCGTTTGATTCCAGCTCGCGTGACCTGCTGACAGTCATACAGCTCAATTCTCTCCAAGTTGTGGCAGTTCTCCAGGTGTTCCAGAGTCACGTCGGTGATGAGAAGACAGTTATCAAGCTCCAGTACCTGCAGCTTCTCATGACCACACGTACTGTTGCTCAGATGAAGAATCCCATCATCGGTGATCAATTCACAGTGAGATAAGCTCTAGAACAGAGGCAAGCAGTTAACACCATCACTCAGTCCTAAGTTACTCACTCTACCCTCTAAACATCAGAAGTCCTCTTCGACCTCCTTCATCCTAGTGGTTAAACACTTACAAAGAGTAGACAGCTGAAAATATGTGTCTTTCTAATTGATTTTGAAAAGTTAGCTCTACAAAGTGTCCTACAGACTCAAGACAAAAATCCAGGGTTTGCTTTCTTTAGACCTAAAGATTCATGACAACTGTGTTTAGTGTATAAAGTATATGAAGATGCTCTATTGTTTTATTCTCTCAGATGTTTAGCAATGGATTCTCTTAATAAAAATATTAGCAAGTAAAAAACAAAAAAAACAAAAAAAATAAAACAACAGCCAAAAAAAGTGCTTAGGGATATGGTGTTGTTGAGAACACGTCAATGGATGATCTACAAGGTCTTTTCCAACCTTGATGATTCTGTGAAATCCAGAGAGTAATGAAAGAAACAACTTTACTCAATGAAAGAAAGGCTCTACTTAAACTTTGCTTGAAAATGAGTTAGAGCCCCAAAACACGCATCACTGGCAAACTCCTCAGGTCCCTTTGCTTCTACAACCGTGGGCAGTCTGTCCCAATTGTCACACACTTCCATTGCTGATGGGTGCAAACAGCGTGTGAGCCACGACAGAAAGCAGAGACTACCTTAAAGGATGATCAAGAACAGACAGGAATAGATGAGGATCTACAGACAGGAGTTACTGTTCACAGCTATCAGGTTTTCACACAAACCACTAGGACCAAGCCTATGCAAGTCTGCACAGATAAAGAACAGTCAGACTGGACTGATTTGCCAAATAATGATTTCAGGAACACCGTGAGCACTTAGCACTTCAGCCTGTACATGTAAGGAGTAATAAACATCGTGCACAGCTGCAGGAGCAGGTCTTTTCTGCAGCAGTCAGCATAATAAACAAAAACACTCTGCTCCCCATCAACATATTTTTTTACTTCCTTGAATTTCAAGAGCATGGAAAAAGTTGCATCTCAGGCAGTAACAGCACATAAAGCAGTTTCCTGGTTCCTTTAGGGAATTCATGACTTTTGGAGAAGCAACAATCACAACAACAGGAAACAGACTCTCCTCCTCGGAGGCTTAAAACACACTTTTTATCACCAGTGAAAGGAATGCTCTTCAGGTCTTCTGCATTAAAAATGTGCAGGACCCAAGAACTCTTACTCTGCTCGCTCTGGGCTAGTTTCTTGCTTCATTCTCAGCCCTGTGTCTTGCCTGTACTTGTATCTAAGTCTAACGGTAACTGGTTTTGAAGTAGCTTTTCCTTGCCCCGAGTTTTTTTTTTCAGACAGCAACTGATGAAGAAATGCTTGCAGTAATCCAAATTTTTTTTTTTAACTTGGCGCAAGTTAACTAGCGCTCAACAGCACCTTGTGCTTTTTTCGTGAATCAAGTGTGTAACCCTTCCCTCCTCTCAGTACATCACATCTACCTTCTTTTATTTCAGCCTGACAAGGAAGCCTGAGGACCACCAACCCTACCCCTTATCTAACCTCAGCTAGAGTCATGAGCGTTTCTTGCCTGCTACCAGACACATGGGGTTCGTCCTGCCCTTTAGAACAACTTGCCCCTCAACCTTTTTTTCATCTTTCCTCAACAGGATGAAAAATTAACTAGAGAAGAGGCTGGGGGACAGCTCTGCAACCCCCCTCGAGCCTGGCAGGGAGCCACCCTGGCAGTTTCCCTTCAGCTCCAGCAGGTCCAGTTTTATTCACTCACCAAGTGTGAGCAGCTGGCAGTGACTCCAAGCAGCACCACAACTGGTACATAGTGTCTCCAAAAGAAAACAGAAATGAAGAGCTTGCCCCCATCACCAGTGTTTTATCTTATGACATGCTTACATTCTGCAAACCTATCAACACTTTAAACGTTTAAGTAAGTTCTCTCCTGTACCTACTTTCTTTATGTACATGTTTTGAGCATTGGATTTGGCTCACAGCCTGGAAACAATCAGCAGTTTCAGGGTTAAAGAACATTTATAATAGACATGCTGCTTCAAGGAAGGACGGGAGGTTATGTGAAGCTGTTGGCTATGGCAGCGGTCTGCTGGCTAATTAAGAGTTTTCCGTCCCAGGAAGTAAGCAGCTTATAAAATCAGCTTTCCTGAGACATTGTATTTGGTACTGACAGGACAATACAGGATGTACAGCTGAGTTCGTAGAACTTTGTAAAACAAATATGCCAGATGATACATACTTCAAATTAAACCACATCATTCTTCAGACTTCATAAGCCTGGTAGAAAGCGTTAATAATGTGGAATTTTATGAAGACAAGAATTGCTTTCAAGAATTGCTTGAAATCCTTAGAACAAAGGAATATGGTGAAATTCTTTTTGTAAATACATTCTAAATGCTGTGTGTAAATCAAATACATCATGATATACTGTGGCAGTAAGAAACAGTATGATCAGCTTAACTGAAGAACTCAATTGTCTTCTCACTCCAGCAATATCATGAGTATTTCAGTTTCTCTAATAATTGGCAGGTACAATTATTAAACACTTACACCAGAAATTACTTAAGTCCAGTAAGTAAGCATTTGAATGCTCTGATCAATAGTTGGTTATACTTGGTTTAACAGTGCTTTTGCTTATTTCCACTTCTACTGAGTCTCCAAACACCAACAAACAAATTCAAAATGGATTGCTGCAACTTCAAAATACTTGTTTAAACTGGAAATATACCTAAACATATGCTAAAGCACAGCTACACCACAGTTTACAGAACCATCTATATGATTTCACATTTGAAGTATCAAGGTTAGTTCACGTAGGGTATTTGGCACCTGCTAGTCTGTTTTTTTTTTCCCTGTAATTCTCAGCCATCACTGTTCGCTCACAATCTTTGAGCAGGTATCCTTCCTACACACAGGATATACACAACAACAACAAAATCAGTTTTTCTGGTTCCCTTAGAAAAGGCATGTTAGTTTGCCAATGCCACACCTCCCTGTCTGTAGGCTGACACACGAAGGCCAAGAGCAGGTTCTAGAACACTTGGAAATTACAATGTTTTATAGTATCTCTGGAGAAGCACTGGCAGAACTGGTACAAAAGGTCTCTTGTGAGTACTGGTTCCAACTGGGATTACAATACAAAAATTATCTGCTGCATAAGAAGAGAAAGTGTCCCATATATATGGCTCCATATCTCCTGACAACTCTGGTTTCACATTAAGAATTATGGTACAGAAATGAGGCTGAACAACTAAAAAGGAAAAATAAAAACCAACAACGGTAAGAAGTAGTGAACAAGCTCCTTTTTAAAAGCTATCTCTCCTCACAGTGCTACCTTAGTAACACTGAGTGAGTAACACTAACTAATCATAACACAATTTAATTAACGAAGCAGCAAACCCCCCTTTAATCCTGTCTAGGAACAGCTTATAAGGATACATGTTCTCTCAGGTACATTTGAAGTAGCATGTAACAAATATACACTTAGGGAACAATTGGCCCTACACACAGGAGCCGCTATTGTAAGGACAGTCTAGTAATTTTGGAGTACCTTGACAGAAGAGCAGCCAAATATATGACACCCAAAATTGGTTTTGATGTTCTGAAAGATCTGAGCAACCGCTCCCTAGAACACAGTTCTCTGAAATACAGTAATTGGTGTACCCCATCTCAATCCTCTTCAATTACATTCAAAAGTCTAGGTCAAAAAAACCTTCCATAATTTAATATGTAAATGTAGTCCTTGAGAAAAACTGCTTGCATGCAAAACTGATTTGATTACAGAGTGATTACATTTATCTTCACCGGGTGGTTTTGTTTACTCAATATTTGATGTCAAGTGTCATACTCCCTAAGAAAAACATTAGTGAACACTTAAAGAGTATCTCTAAAGGATCCAAGTACTGTAAGTTGAACTAAGTAATCAAATATGAAGGATGTTAACCATAAAATGTTAAATGTTAATCATAAAATGTTTTGTTAACCATAAAAACCCATAGGCTTTCTGGTTATTCCTCACTGATTTGGTAATATTTTTTTTTAATCACACAATGCACGTAAATATTTTAGGAGTAATCTGCTTCTTTTAGAACACTTATGAAACTTGCATGTATTTTGCACAGCATTTTGCTATGTCAGGAACAGGAACTTTTTCTAGATACAGAGTGAATGGCCTGGTTTTGTATTGCAGGAGTTGTGTATGTGTGTGGTTTGGGGGGATGTATTAAAGTTCACAAAGAGTTAAACTTACCAATGCTTGTAGCTTAGGACAGTGTATAGAAAGTTGTATCAATGTGCTGTCAGTTATCTAGAAATAAAAGAAACCAACCATAAGCAACAGACAGCAGGAGAGTCAACCCTCAAATAAGGTAACTTTTCTCTACCAGAGGAAGGTTCTGTTATTTCTGGAAAATACCCAATCACCTGGTAACTCCTCAAGTTTTTCCCCTGCATAGAATTTTCCAATAATTATTTTTAATTATTATCGAAACACAGCATTATTATTATATATTATTAACAAAAAAGAAAGCACATCTAATTGAAAGTCCTAATTCTTACACTGAATGTTCAATATTCCTTTTCATATTAAATCTCACCAAAACACACTCTTCTAAGTCCATCTTCTCCAGCTCATGGCAATTCTAAAATAAACAAAAAACAAATAGATAAACAAAAGATGAAATAAAACAACACACAGACATAAAATCGCACACAGGGCTGGTGATTTGGGATAGCACAGCTTCCAAGAGGAAAATGTGAGCTAAATCCCTTCAAGTATTTGACCACCATCAAAATACAAAAATTGGTAAAAAAATATTTAAAAATCCACAAACAATAGACCACCTCCCTCTCAAACCTCGACACTTCAGCCTTTCTCTTAGTAAGTGAAATGTCTCCTTGCCCTGTAAGGTTTGAACAATATGTATCAGCACTCCCTCTCCCCTGCTTCCCTTTCCCCTTTTGGGGTCAACTTCAAATCAAACCTATGGCACCTAGAGCCTGTGCACTAAGGCTTCCTAACCAGCAAACAGATGAATCCAACTTCTGCGTACAGACCCGCACCAGACTAACCGAAACACACTTAAGCCCACGGAACATCTCTCTTCACCATCACCCATGAGAAAGAAGCCTTAAAAACCATTTGCTTTGCTAATGAATGCTGAAAATATTAAAATAGGGTCCAGCTTGGAAAAAGCTGCACTTCACATTTATACAAGCAATTTCTTCAATATTCTGAGATATCCCTAGCAAGCTTTTCAAAGTGCTTTCAATATCTGATCATGACTAATTTCAAGAAAATTCTGTAACCTTGTGACCTTGCAGCAGACCACATGGTGCCACGGCTCAGCCCAAACCCCAACCCATTTTTTATGAGCATAGAAAGAAACGGTTTAACTTGCAGCTCCTAAAAGCAGGCTTGAGGTGACTACCAAAAGCCCAAGGCTGTAGTGCTGAATGTTTAGAAAACCACTGTTTAACCACTGTGGCTAGAAAAAAAAAACACTTTCATTCACGTTACCACGTACCAGCAGCATAAATGAACCCCATTTACAGAGCGTTATTTTTGTTTTCAGATTTCCTAAACCAGCAAGCATACAAGTCTTACCTGAAGCATTTGATACCATCAATACAATTACTTTATAAATTTACAGCATGAATTGGGCCACAAGTGCCTATAGTTTATAATATATAATGTAAGTATTTTTGTAATTTAAAGGTATGCTCAGAATAATACGTTATATGGTGATTTTGGGGGTGTAAATATCACAAGAGTACGCATCATCTTAATAGGGGAAATTTGGCTAGAATACCTAAGACAAGTTTATAATTATGTTAAGCGTACTAAATTTTGTTGAAAGATACTAAAAAAAAAAAAAAAAAAAGAGAGAGGGGAAAAAAGTGAAAAATGCAATGATATATGGCAAAATAGATCAAGCTGCAGCTCTACATATAATCCAGAAATAAAAAAATCATTTTTTCAGTCCCCTCCTCCACTGGGTTCTTCCTACTTTATTTTTCTTCTTCTCGTATTTCTTCCCAGCAAGACTACATCAATTCACAGCTGCCCAGCAGCAGTGAAAACAAGGCGAGGCCTGACCTTCTGAAATGACCCTTACCCGTGCTAAAAGGGTAAAACCAGCATCTGTAAGATGTGAACATCTTGCGGCTTCCAAAATCCTAGAAAAGTTTTAAATGTTAAAGAAAACATTAATATAGAGAAAAGCAAATGCATCTGAGATACAAATCTGTCTTCTGCAACTTAAAACTCTCAACAGCAAACTTATACATATGCTTATTTTTCACAGTAATTTGCAATTAAAAAGCACTAGGCAGACCTTTGATGCGGCTTATCAGAAGACTCTAATAGTCATAGAGCAGATTAAGTTCAATCCTCAAATCTTCTCAGCATTTAGTGGAAAAAAATTATACATAATTACAGGCATTTTGACCTCCTGTTTCAGTAAGACAGCATAATGTTCAAGTTTTCTCATGTGTTATTTGAGGAAAGATATGGGAGAATAAACCCTGACTTAAGGAAAATGCAGATGAAAACCTGTTATCTAAACACAGGATGTTGGGAAGCCACAAAACTGAGAAACTGCTTACTAGAAATTCAGTCAGAGGCTGTGCACAAAGCACAGTGAAGCAAGTTACCAGAATGCAAAGAGCTTAAATTCTCCAAGCCCACAGTAAAAACAATAAACTACACCAACACAACCTTAAAGAAAATAACACAGTGCTTTGGAAAGATAAACCTAACACTCTTTCCAGAGGCACTGGGAAGCAGTACTGACAAAAAAAAAAAAAAAGGTTAACTGCCCCAAACAGCACCACTAGTACACAGAACAGGCCTCCATCCCTTTAATGTTCTGTCATCTTTGTTTTCTTCTTCTTTTTAATGAACGCTTTTTACTTTGCACGTGGAATAAGTATCAAGATGAGTAAGGAGAAACCACAGCACCGCCTAATGAGTGGCACAACCTAAGTGCAACCTGCCCACTCACCACAGCAAAAACTACCTCTGTACTGGGGTCGGTGGGGAGGAGGCAGGAAAAGATGGACAAAGGAGCCTCTTGCTAATGTAACACTTGGAGGCATTTAGGCCCTTCCATTGGTTTAGGAGGTCATTAGAAAGATTTCTATAGAGAAATGTGAAGGGAAATGCCATGCTGCGTGCACGAGAAAAATACAACCCCACCAGAGCACAGGATCTGGGGCTCTGACTGTGACTTTGCTGGATCAGTCTCTTCCAAGCCAAAAGCAAGATCACACCTGAGTTTAGAGGTAAGCAGCCCCACAGGATACACCCTTGGAAATAATTTCCAGCGTGTTAAGTCTTCAACAAGGTTCAGAAGTACGATGGAAACTCAAGAATGGCCAACAGAGAGGTACAAGACAGGTACCACTTCCCAAATGGATGGCTGTAACACCTCGCCTTTTCTTTCCAGGCTCACATTTGGGAACTTTGTGCCTTTCCATCAAGGGCAGTTAGCAACCTATCTTAAAATAGTCTCAGCTACTCTGAAAATTACATACAATATCAAGCAGGAAGGGAAAATCCTATCATCACCACCACAAAACCCCATGATTCAGGTCACATTTATTATCCTTCTCAATCCTTTCATCAATTACTCACCTTCAACCCTACCTGCACTTACAACCATTGGATCCCCCAACCCCCTTACATTTCTGACTTAAAGGGGGAAATAAATTACACCTGCAGTGTGCAAAATAGTAATGATGCTACTTACTGCCCAACTGATTGAAAAGAAGAATATGGAAACAGAAGGGTAAGAAACTAGCAGCTCTATCTTCTCTGAAATTGGGAGTGCAGTCAGTCAGAGCAGCAGAACAGGAGAGTTATATATACATCAATCAGGTCCCAGTACAAGAAACAGGTGGTAAGACACTGGTCAGCATGAAAATGAGCAAAGTGCTAATTTTTGCTTTGGTTTAGTGATTGTACTTAATTACAGAGGGCTGCTCTTTCTTCCTGATACAGCTGACATTTATTTGCCCTCCAGTGATTCATGTGTACCTAGTGTAGGAGCTGATGAGGCAAAATGATACCCCAGAGCAGATTCCCCACTCTTGTAAAGCAATGTTCTCTGAGACAGACCTCTCATTGCCAACAGATGTCCTTTGGGCACACCTCTGCACACAGCTCCCCCCCCGCAACTCTTGGTGAGTTAGCAGCAGGTGGGAGAGAACACTAGTGGGGTTAAAGGCAATATGATCCCAATTGTCACAGCCCCACCTAGACAAAGACATTCATGGTTCACAGGTGCTTTTCTCCAAAAGCCTCACCAAAACACCAGTATTTTAACACTAAAAAGCACTAAAAAAGAAAAAAAAACAGAGAAGGTATCAAGCACTTAAATGAGCAGATATAAAAAAGGAGACAGCTAGATCTTGATGTAGGGGTGGGGGGGGAACAGCTGAAGGAAGCTGGTCAAGCTTGGGATTTTGTTTCAAGGAGATGTCATTTGTGAGTGGTAACAGCTGCAGAACACAGCGCTGTCGTGGAAAGCAGCAGAGTACGGCATGCAACGCCTTGAAATGAACTGAGTAGCACAGCACACAAAATACTCAAAAGCTTCCTAACAGGTCCAGCACCGCCAACAGAGACAGGAGAGTTTTCTTTGATATTTCACCACTGAAATATTCAGAAGGTATGACCAAGTGTGGAATTATATTTCCCTTTGATTTCCAACTAATTTTCATCAAGTACTTTCCATACATGATCCCAAAAGTCTAGATTTAACCAGCTGTGTCATCTGTCCTTCTGCAGTAATCACTGCAAAAGGTGATTTGTTTTCCTTATGATGTTCCTCATTACAGAAGAGCGGCAGACGCCTTCCCCCTCGTGGCAGACAGAGGCTAACAGTTTATCTACCAACGTCAAAACAATTCCTGCTACAGTCGTACTGCCCTTGGAAAGAACTGCACAACTAGTAGCACTTTAGGTCTCCTTTTATTTTCAGTCTGAGCTGTGAATTGAGAGAACACGAGAAATGGTGGAAGAAAACTAGTAATAACAACACAGCTTTCTAAGGAACTCAGTTAAGTGTGTCAGAAGACTCCTAAGCCCCTAACAACTGGCACACATAAGCTCTTGTAAGTAGGAGCAGTTACATGAAGGGACTTGTCACTCTGGAACTGTCTTAAGGACAGGTTTTCTACAGTAACAAAAGCCCTTTTTTACTCAATCACCTAAAGGAACACTGTGTGCCAGCATACTGCACACTGGCATGGGAATATAGTTTCCCCTAATTTTTACGACCTAAACTTTCCTCCATTTATCTGTGATTGAAGTATAACAAGTTGCAACTGATGCACGTTCCTTTCATAAATGGCTATTTGGTGTTATCCAAAAATCTTTTGTTTTGATTTAATTTACATTAAAATTAGACCTTACAAGAAGCATTACATGTCTCCGCAACCAGAGAGCTGCTGCAGGACTGAGCTTCATTGTTAAAGCTGAAGTTGTCCCCACGCCCGAGAACACCACCATAACATACGTGTTAGCAAAAATTACACCAATGTAAAAGTTTATATTATTTTTAACTGATAAGCCCCTATTACTCAAAACATATCCCATAAATATCACTCCCCAGTGCCTGCAGAGACATGAACACACTCTATACCAGAGTTTAAAAATGCCAGGATGTACTGCAGAGCATATTAAAAACATATTTATAGTAAAATCTGTAAATATAGTACTCAGGTATGATTTAGCTGGGTTTTTTTAAAGACAACTGCATAAAATCACATCAGAGTACAAACATCACAAGACAACACAACTACAGATATTTTTACCTTTCAAAAAATTAATGGGCTTTATATCTTCTTTTCTTCTGGCTTGTAATTAGTACCTAAAATATTTAGCTAGAAGCACAGAATTGAACTGCTAGGTTCAACATGGTTTATTTGTCATGTATTAGTTCTTATTTTGCTAATATACAGTAGACAACATTCACCCGATAGCTACAGAGGATCAGCCCTCAAGTTTATATTCAGCTGGCAATTCTAATGTTTTGATTGCAAAGGTAATGCAGACAACACAAACCTGTGGGTATCAGCTGATTACCTCCAGAAGTTAATTTCCTAGATCAGGCCAGTAACAACATGATATACTCACAACATGCTCATGACATACTCACTTCAGCCTTGGACAGTTTAGACCAAGTGCTGTGAGAGAAGCATCTGTAAGGTTGCTACAGCCTGAAACACAGAGTGACTGAAGTCTATGGCATCCTCTACAGATTTTTACAATGCCTTCATCTGAAATTTGCTGCAACACAGAAGAAAGTTGAAGTTAATCCGTTATCAGTTAATCAGCTAAGAACAAAAATCAAGTCATATTACTGAACTGCCAGAGTTACGTTGTACATAACCATGGCATTTTCAACCAAAAAATACCATGGTAAAACCATCTTCATTGATAACACTGAAGACAAACAACACACACAATTCCTACTTATATTTGTGTTTTTCCACAGATTTCAAGTAGTGCTCAAAGGCAGTATGAAGCACAATGGGAGAGTTGTTTGTTGTCTTCCTCTTTCACTTTGCTTTTGCTTTCTAATTTTCACTTTTTTTTTTTTTTAAATTGTAGTCGTCATTGTGTGAAATAGCTTGCTTCTTATATGTTTGCAGAGTGCAGGTCTTTTGTTTCAGTGACACTGTAAGCTCAGGAACAGTGCAAAAGAGAGCTTAAAAGTTCGACAGTAGAAGAGCTAACTACCTATTTTGAACTGGAGCAGAAAGACCCAAGGGTAAAAATCCCTCACCTTCAGATAATTTTCAAAGCAAGAGTTACAGGTAAACAATTACATATAATCTGTTCTTTAGAGAAGACAAATGTAAAAGCCTTACCCTATGCAGTTGTCTTTAGCTGAAAGATTAAACTCAAAAGAGGGGTTTTCATTTCTCAAAATTGTTTTGTACTAGAAATTCTGAAAAAAGTTTGGAATATGAAAAGTTTTCTCTCTGAAACAGGAAATATAAGAAATAGCCCCAATGCAACAGCACACAAAACAGCAACAGGAACTAGGTTATCGGGTCTGTGTACAAATACTATTTTGTTTACAGTTCTTCTATTCTGGAAAAAGTATTCTCTCCTCCTTTCACTCCTAACTCCAAGAATTTAATTTTTCTCCTAATAACTAATCCTTCATGGTGGAAGAGAACCAGGTTATTTTATTTCCTGACCTAAGATTATTCTTCAACTAATAACAAAGACCTCTGCTGTATTTTAAACTGAAAATACATACTTCTTTTATAAGCCACTCATCGAGGTACACTAATACTACTATAGTGTATTTCTGAGGCTATTTACCACAAACATTACCTTGCATAGATGAAAACAGGATGAGAGATAGCAGTAGCTCAGCACAAAGGGAGATCACCTTACAGCCCCAGTCCCAGTCCAGCACCTTTTAATATCACAACTTTGTATTTGCATTTGTTCTGTCAAATAAAAACTATTCTAGACAGAAAACTAGAAGTGTTGTATTAATTTTGTGAATCCAAAAGGATTTGCATCATCTACAGATAAGAAGCTTTTTTTTTTTTTTTTAATTAGAAGTCCATCAGCCAGGTATTTCTGGAGTTGACTCTCCAAAGACACATTATTTTCTGAAACTGTTTTGTTTCCTTTGAGAGATACTTATGACACTATTATTGGGAAAAGGAACTATTTCAGAAGTAAGAACTGTGTAAATTTTATGCTGCTATTGGAGATGGACAAAACCCTCAAAGTTATATATGAAATTTTTCCATTCTGAAATTGCTTGTGATTTCAATGCCTACATCCCTCTCCAGGAAGAAAAACACTAAAAAAATGCCTGCAAGTCCCCAGTTTCTAAAACCTTTCTTCAAAGGTGGTACCTTTCAGATATGCAGTTTCCATAGCTGCTGGAGCTGGCCTGGCATTTTACAAGGTCCATAAAAAAGAACCACTAGAATTAAAGTGTGGATCATATAAAGCATAAGATGACCTGCTGTGTAAAAATCACTGCTAACCCTTTGGTCAAAGAGCCTGGCTCTTCTGGAAGCATGCTTCTAAGCTGTAGCAAGCAGGACACATCTCCAGTGAATAAAGCTTTAACACCTACGGAAACTAGGTAGCACATAGAGACTATCAACTAAAACAATTCAAAGGGAAAAATACTCATGAGGGGTTTTTTGTTTGTACTTAATACCTACACGACAACAAACATACTGGCCAAGGAAAAACTCTGATATACTTCTATGCCAATGCCCCTTTTAAGCCGGAGAGATCCTAACTGATTATCATTAGACCTCTTGATGGCCTTCCACAAAAACAATCAGAAAAGGCTGGCCTTGACATATCTCATTAGTCTCAGGTAAAACACAGCAGAAAAAGAACTTTGGAAAAGGAGGACAGCAAAAGGATGACTGAAAGGGGAGGAAATTATGTACTGGCTTTAAGTGTAGTTCTGACCAAAAGAAGGAACTGCCTTTCATTCCTGTTACCTTTAGGTACCCAACTTCAGTGGACAGCTAAATTCAGATTGAAAAAATCTGAAAATTCTCTCTCTTTCACTAAACATCTGGCTCATGGAAGCTCAAACTTTGTATTCATATTGTTCTTAGTTTCTGCAATTTTTAATAATCCCTAACACTCAAAAATGTTCAACACTTTAAAGAAATCTATTAGGTCCAAAAATTGTCATCCAATCTTAATAAAAAAAGGTCCCATGCCACAATCATTCAAGAATGTGTAAAACAGATTTGAAAGTTTTAGCCCAAGCAGATTTTATGACACCTTCTAGGAGTAAAACTGTAGAAAACTTTCCAAAAGCAGAAAGTAATCTAACTTCATCATTCAAATTTGCATGAATGAAACACTGAAATTCTAATTTATTTCAGTGTTTTCTAAGGCTTATTTACAGACAAAGAATGACTTAAATACATCTAAAATCTAAAAGGAGATCTTTTCATTCCTAAAAAGTCACTTGAGAAACAACAAAAAAACAGCAAATATAAAAACACAGCAAATTTAATAAGTAGAATTAAAAGTACATGAACGATTCCCAGCCATTTCATTACAAATTAATGTGTTCTTCCATTACTACTGAAAAAGCATGCCCATCTCCTGCTACCTAGATGGTTCTGAGTCATCTTCAGTTATGATGCCATTACATTTTACTCTCAATTATGTAGTCCAGAATATGGCTTTTGCTCAATTAGAAAACTTGAAATTATTAACAGACCAAAATGTTTGATATTAATGAATGGGAGAACAAGAACTACATCTGTAAAACTGCATGGTTTAGTGCATACACAGTTCATGAGATTTGAATGAATGCAGTTAATTCTTACTCTATAGAGCTTGCTACAGTTAAAAGATGTAATGAGGGGGAAAAAAACCCAAACAACAAACAACACTCCAAATCCACACTCAGCTGTAGAAACAGCCATCTCATTTAAGACCTCTGTTCCACACAAAATTCTGTAAACTGCAGAGAGATACTACTTGAATTATTTATGTGTGTAGCAGTTCAATTCATTAGCATTCAAAAATGGTTTATGATTCTTAGAGATTTTTTGAAGCTTCAAATACTTACTGTACAGGATTGCAAATTCAGGATTACAAGTTCATGACAGTGATTTTGAATGTGTTTCAATGCTTCATCTTCTAACTGTATTTGGCAATTAAATCAGACACAGGAAAAGAAACAAGAAATTAAAAGCACAGCAAAGCAGCCCAAAAAATGTACACATCTTGTAATATCGAACAAAAGACTATAACAAAAAGGGTATTATTTAATTCATGGAGATTTCAAAAACCCAAAATAAAATTTTATTCCTAAAGGATCACCCAAGCAGTTATGTACCTGTGTGCAACCTCTAAGAAATAGAGCTTTTAGTCCACTACACCCTTTCACCAGTGCTTCAATACCATCCTTCGTAATCTGATCACACCAGGAAAGATTCAAATGTTCCAGATTTCTGCAACCCTCACTGGGAGAATTAAAAAAATACATAAAGTTAAATCCAGCCTTCAAATAGTCATAACAGTGGGAAACCCAAATTAAACACACTGTTAGAAATTAATGATAGCCAGTGGACTGTGCCAGGCCTCCACAGAAAAGTCATGAGACAAGACCACACACAAACATGATGCTCTACACCCAAGAAGTCCTGGATACAGGATACAGCCAGTGCTGGTACTAGTATTAAGGTTCAGCACTGACTTCTTTTAACTTTATTAAATGTTGAACAGCTAGTTAAAAGCTTTTCTTTCACACAAAACACCGAATCTTCTTACCTTAAGCCTTTCAAAGAGCTGTTTGTGATGGCTACGCAAGATGTCAGATCCAGATGTTTCAGCTTGGAACAGAATCTGCTAAGACTGTAACACGTGCTGCAAAACAGCAGACACACTAAAAATACCTTCAGCTACTTCTTCTTCCAAATTTTCCCATCAAACAAAAAACCCCTTTGACTTACCTGTCAGTGATTTTTGTGCACCCATTTAGATTTAAGTGTTCAATGTTTCTACAGTTCTGTGCAAAGGTCCTAAAACAGCAACAAAAAGCTGGAGAATTAATACAATGTCACAAACTGTAATACAGTCACTAGAGTGCGCTCTGTCCCCTACCTCCTTCCACCTCACTCAGAAAGCTTGATCTTCAAGCCATCGAGCTTGAAGCACAAAGCACCCCTCAAATACATCTGTCTCAGTGGTTGCTTCTTTCTTTAGCTAGTGCAAGTTTCTGTCTTGGGTTACTCCTGAAACCAAATGTTTCTCTCTCAAATACCACTTGAGCAAGGAGTTTATTTGTCATGCATATATAACCCAGAACTGACTTGCTTTAGGTGCCTTAAATAAAACATTAACAGCATAAACAGAAAGGTTTAAATATCGCATCAATTCAATATTAAGCTGCTGGGGAAAGTTTTTGCACATGTCATTACTGAAGCCTTTTGTAGGTCTTAAGGGGCTTGCACCCACATTAAATGAAAAGGAATGTACCTTGCACAATACAGAAGCGGGACCTAAGCCTATTGGACTACCAATGGAAAGCCCTGTGGACCGCAAATTATATATTTATTATTTTAAAAATTAAAATGGATCTGTGTGCACTACTGGGTATGAACTCTAAGGATGATTGGAGCTATTATACTGCTAAAAGCCTGTATGTATCATTATACTAATTACCCAGAAGAACTACATAAACTTTCTTTTCATCTCTGCAGAGTAATATTTACAGCTGTGTTGCATTTCAGAACACTGTTTTTATGCCCATGTTTCCTCCAACTGCATGGATTTTATTGGCAGGGGTGGAGGAAACACACAAAAACAGTTTTGTCTGGAGGCTTGCCGTGGTTAATGGATCCGACTACACACTCAGCCGGTAACAACTTCCTGGCTCTCCAGTGTGGATTGAAAACAATGGAAAAAAACCCAGAAAGCGGTTATACTGGTGAGAGTTTCCACTTGAATTCTCATAACAGCTATTTCAAAATTCATGTACTGGAGGGAGATTTACAATCGGGACACTCTTCAAATCACTTGGAAAGACTCTCCACTCTGGAGGAACAGCAAACTTTGCCTCTGAGATTCAAGTATGGGGCATGTCCTGAGAGAGCTGCCACAAACATTCAGTACTTGCATAGCCAACACCCACTTCGATAACCGGCTATTTTTAAACAAAATTTGATGTAGAATAAGGATAAATAGAGAAATTAAGATCACCCACAAAACTAACGGATCTGAAAACAATTCAACACAAAGAGCCTGATAGGAAAAGTTGCTTTCAGAACAAGTATCTGAAAACTAATGCCACCTTTCTCATGCTAACCTTTTGGAAGTCTTAAAGCTCATGCATTTATTATTTGTTAATTTCAGCATAACTTGCTTCTATTTCAGAGGTGAGCATCTTCTTTCCTAAAGTGCCTTAGACAGCACCATCTGCACCAGTAAGTTGTTACGGATGCACATGGGAATACTGGTAACAGTCTGGTAGCTGGTCTCAGCTAAACCTGCTAGCACAACTAGCTGTGTCATCCCTACAATGTACACATGCTATGCACTGATCTGCTGTATGCTTATTCTAAGTACCTTTTTACCAAATATATCACTAGGGAAAAATATCCCATCTCCAGCCCTCCCCCTCTTCTCAAATGCCACTAATACCTGAACCCACCTACAATTTTCAGTCCTATTCACAGTGCTCTCTGCAGTCCCCTAGCCTTAGAGTCCTGAAAAGGACAGCTGGGAGCCTAAACCAAATGTGAAAATGGAGTTACTGGGGGGAAAACTCTTACCTACTATCCTGACTCTTTCTTCCTACACCCTTCCCACAACCTTCTCTGCTACATCCTCCCCATGGTAGTTGCTACCTCTCTCGGAGCCTGCCCTCCCCTACTGAGGACACAGGGACCTCTTGGTGAATGCTCTGGGAACTTGGAGGAGCACTGCAAAAAGTTACCTCTGGTTGGGGCTACCTCTTTTTGGACAGCAGTTGCCAGTAATCTGGGAGATGGTAATAATATGCACTTTCCCCTGAGGAGGCAAGACTGCCTGAAGATGGAGAGACACCACGGAGCAGTTAGGGAGATGGCCTAGAGGCACAGAAAGCTGTGGAAATCTCTGGGTCTGAAGCTACAATGCCCATCTGGGTTACTAAAGCAATCTATTGCTTAACTAGTTGCTGTATGAACTTACTCTAAAGACAAAAATCAGTGAATTAGACTTACTTATAAATTCTAGACGGAGCTAAAGGTCACAAGACACTAACAATGCCCACTGCTTAACAAAACCTTTGTCCTTATATTTTCCACCTAAGAATGGCCACGTTACACGAGACTGAACACCATCCAAGCCCAGTCTCCTGTGATAGGAGAGGAAAGCGTAACTGCAAAAAGCCATACCCCAACACTTCCTCCAAATATTCTTTGAGCCCTAAAGTACTTGTGGCTTAAGGACTCTTCAGCTCGAGGCAGGATCTTTGGGTTTAAATACTCACAGAGGAATATGGCTAAATAGTCTGCATATAGAAAAAGCTTACATGGATTCAAACGATCTTTTGGGAACTGCAAAGTTCAATTTATATCCTGCATAAAGAAGGGGCATTGTCTCTATTTAGAGACTTCTGACATGTTCCTGTTGCCTGCCTGTTCTTATATTAGAGCAGGAAGAGCATCCCAGGCCTTTCCCAACTTTGTAGGCACTCATCATTCTTTGCTCTTTCTCCTGTTGCTAGGGTCACCTCTTGTCCAGACTAGAAAATAAACTGTAAACTGACTGACCACTCATCTTGATGAAATTAATATTGTAGGGCTCCAGAGTATAGGTCTGAAAACATTTTAACTGCTTTAAAATGGAGAGATAACAACATAATACTAATGAAGGAAAAAGACACATTTCTGAAAAGCACAGTTCTCATTTCTTAGTTCATTTCCAGAAAATAACAGTAACTATACTTTCATCTCAAACTGACATCTCATTTAGCCATTATTAGGGTACTTAGTACTTAAGTATCCCATTCTGGTCATTAGCCAGTACTTAGAAATCCAAACAAATGTAACAGTAATTGCTTTTGGTCCGGACATTAGGAAATAAGTGATGTCTCAATCTAGGACTTTACTTACTTTAAAGAGGAGTCTCCAACACCAAGACATCCTCTCAGACTAAGTTGTCTCAGGAACCCACCACACCTTTTCGATATATTTTCCACAACACGACCCTTAAACCAAATAAAAGGAAGATTTTGTTGAGTTTTATTCTCACATATCATTCTGAGCAAATTAAAAATGCTGGAAGGGAAGACCAGTCCCAGCTACACCCCACCAGAACTACACCTCTTCTAATTTCTTTTGCTACTTTAAGAAAAAAGTTACCTGTTGAGAATCTTCACTCACATTGAAGTGCTGTTCAATTCAATCTTTTAGTTGTCTCTTCCTTTTTATTCAGTATCACACATGGCTCAATTTTTTATCTCAGCACAACCTACCCATTAAGAATGCTAAAGCAATCTTAAAGTTTTGTCAGATGTGTAGGGAACCTGAAAATCTGCCCCAAAGGTGGAATGGGGGGCATGCCCGTTTCTCAAGGATCACAGTTACTACTACAGCATGTAAGTTTAAATCACCCACAAAGACATGCTTAGGCTAGCACGTCACTGAACTACAGCCTCTGCTAAGTCCTGCTTTGCAGTTCCTGCTTTAGGGATGGTTACCTCTGCAACTGAAAGGAGCTCAACACCTTGGTGGGACCAGTCACTTCAGCTGCCTCCAGAAGATTTGCTGGAGCCCACCTGCTAGTCTTCAGTGTCATATATATATATATATATAAATATATAAAATATATAATATATATATATATAAAATAAATAAATAAATAATTATATATATATATATATATATATATATATATTATTTTTTTTTTGGGTGTCTGAGCACAACACTTGGGAATGCCAAAGAACTTCTCGCACTGTGAAGCTTACAGACTTTATGCCTCGTTATTTGTCACAAGCTGAAGCACAGTTTACAAACAAAACTTCCTACTTGACCCCTCATTTGCTACAAAATGCTTTTAATTTACACAGTACAAATTGCATTCTGCTACACATTAGGAGTAAGCAGAATTGCACAGTACTTCTAATATTCAATCTGAAAGTAGCATTATGCAAAAATGCTATTTAAACTACAATAAAAATAGATTTTTGGGGTTGGGTTTTTTTTGGTAGGGAAAACAAGCTAAAATAGCAAAAAGCAGGTGACCCCTGAAAAAACTGACTAGCCATCCCACTGTGTCTAATTTTAGGGAGGGAAGGTAAAGAAATCAACATTGATCATTTAAGAAACAGGACTAACACCTAACAACACCTTTTATTTTCTACTCTCTCTTTTTTCTTAAAGAAGGGAAAATTATAAAATAACAGGTCAGTGGGTTTTTTTTTGTTTTCCTCTCTATGAAGGATGGTAACAATTCTACTGAAACAGTAAAATGTTGCTTACATTTTGTTGTTCACCTCTAAAACCAAAGTCCTGGATTGCATTATGTGAAAATATTTTCTTATCAGAGCTTGTTTCTTAGTCCATAAGTAACATTGTTTATCTTATCGCTCAGAAGAATTTATACCAAAACAAACTGAAAATCATTATACAAACAAATTATGTATTTTTTAAAGCTTTCTGATTAGTCAGAATTATTTCTCAGCAGAGGCCAAATACCTTTACTGTAAGGATAAAGTTTTCAATGAATAACATATAGCACAAGTTCAATCTATATTGAAAAGCCAAACTCTAATTCACTATTCAAAGAAAATAGAAATAGTAAGTTTTCCCAAAGCCATTTATTTCTTTAAGCATGTAACAAACCCCACAAAGTGATTCAAATGTGTTTAGCTGTTTCAATAATTCAATGTCACTCAAAAAACCTAGTTCTTCAAATTACCGCTCCTTATATTTGGTTCCACACACCAAGAAATCCTAGGCACATTTAACTTCAAGATCTTCACAGAGCTTTTGTGACAGAAAAGAAACATTTCCTGTTTATAGTCTTTTCTCCTCACTTTATTCTTTACCACATGAGGTCTTAAATACAGAAAATTCCACAAAACTTGATTTTTCATTAGTTGATACTCTCATATCAATTAATGCTATGTGAAACATCACCAAACACTAAGTCCGACTGAGCAAAAAGATGCCAAATACAATTAGCAGCTTTTACCTGTCCTGAATCTATAGGCAAAAAAAAATGTTACTAAAACAGCTGAAGAAAAAAACAAGAGTTCTTAGACACTGGATGTGAAAGTGTATCTTGTTCAAAATTATTTTATGTATTAATTGCTGGTTTAACATACTCTTATGAATACATCTAAGGCTTTATATTATAACCGTACTGATATATAATATACCAAAGTAACTGAATTGCTCCAAGCCACAATAGCTTCTTATAGCAAAAGAGAATGGTAATTTCATTCCTTCTCCTGAACCCCATGCTACAAACACAGCATCTCAAAGGGCAACACCACTAGGTACAACATAAAACATGGTGAAAACATAAAAATCTAATACTCTGTTTCAAAATAGCACAAAGGTTTCAGACACAAAAAAGGCCTACCAATAGAGGGACCACAGACCTGTGGAGTTTTCTTTATTAATTCCTAGCAAATGAGTAACACAACCTTTTTTAAAGGCAACTGAGAAGATGAAATTAAAGCCCCAAGTCTTCTTAGAAACATTTCGACAGAGGCAGATGCCAAAATCTTTCTCCTACCTCTGTAAGATCCTCATGTTTAACATCGGTATAGTAGAGGAGTTGGCAATAAAATCTTAAAAAAGTGGTGAAAAAAATTTTACCCTATATATTACTGTAAAGCCTTAGAAACAGTTTGAACTACATTTGGCAAAATATACCAAATGAAACCCATCTGGATTTTATTCATGAAACTAAGAAGCTAAAACATAAAACCCAGAAGCAAACTCATTATTTTATTCTAAATTTATTTTGTATTATCAAACAGCAAATAATAGAGCAGCTCAGATTCAATTAAGGAATTGTGTTTCCGTGTGGATTTTTGCCTTCACTTTCAGATGTTATATTTCATTTTGTTATGCACATCTGTGATAGCATTAACACAGATGTGTTTTTCTTATGGAAGAGAAGACTGGCCTAATCCTTTCATTATATGATGAAAAGGACTTTAATCCACATGTACCGGCATTTCAGACAAGGTTCAAACCTTATAAAACAAATGTTCATAAAACGGTAATCAGATACACACCAAATCAAATCTAGGCAAGCCAGCAGTAAGAAAAGTTGTTCAGCATTTTATTGTTTCAGTCTCCAAGTCCTATAGCCAAGCGTTCAGAGAGCTTTCAGCACTAGATGGCACCCTCACAGAGAGACTCGGGACCAGCCACAAAATTATCCTCTGGATCCTGAAAGTGATTCCGAGGATCTTACTCTCTCCAGAGGCACCATTTATACCTTCCCTTTCTGGAAATGAGCAGCTTTGAATTTCTAGAGCCCTGTAGGTGTATGATATATGCAAATTATCTGATACGTAGCTGGCAACCGAAATTGAAATATCATCCAGTGTAAAAAGAAGGCAAATACAGAGTTCTTCTCCATTTGCTCCGTCACAGTATTATCATCTTCAACTTCAGCCTTTAAAATGAGTGAACACAAGCACAGTCTATGGGATACTCAAAATGGACTACACTCTCAAACATGACCATAGGAATGAAAAAACCCCAAAAGACACTAACCTCTATATCCGTTTGAAAGTTAAAGAGGTCTATCTTTTGCCAATTGCTTCCATCCAGAGCTAAAACATTCCATGCCTACAGAAAACAAATACAGTTTATTACCTCCACTGCCTGTCCCCTTCATTTTAATTTCAGGAACTCAAATATAACAAAATCCACAATTTCAGGTAGCATTTTAAAAAAAAATTAAATATGTATATATATCTCTATATATATCTATATATATATAGATATATAATGGTAGGTATTAGTAGTCCTAAAATATCAACTAGTTAAAACTGGAATTTGTGGAAATGAATCTCAGATCCTCTAAATGGATTACACTTACACCCATAAAATGCAGAAGAGCAAGAAATTGAATGTGAAGTACATACAGGGACACAGCCATATTTAGCCCTGCATTTTTAAAAAGCTTTTGTAAATTTGTCTATTAAGTTACTTTTACCAGATCTATGTAGAGAAAAGTAGCTGCAGATGAGATTCCTTCCAATAAAACCACAGTTCCTCAACCTCACTAGTTACTATTCCGAGAGGAACAGAAATCTTTCAGAAAACTGCTGACTTTCCGCTGTTAGAATCGGGCCTTTCCTTTACACGTGCGAAGTTACATGTATGTGTTTGAGAATTTGTCCTTCACTGTCGAAGCAATAGTTGTTCAAAGGATAACAAAATAAAAGAGCCAGAGAAACACAAATATACACAGAAAAATGGAAAAAAAGAATACCGCATCCAACTGACAGGTAGTTCTGAGACAAAAATACAACTTAGTGACTTTGGTTTTCTTCCACTGTTTTCTAGGCTTCAGCTGAAGGTTCTACCAAAACCTGATGTTAGCTGACTCACAAAACTTACTGAAGCTGCAGGCCACAGTGATGTGGGCATAGGAATGAAGTAATTACACACTTAAATATACATTAAAACCAACAAACTGCAATAAAACAACCCTCAACAACAAAACCCAATCTTCATTAAGGGAAGGAAGAATGAAATAAGAAAGTTCATTCATGCTGTGTAAGAAGATACTTTATTGTGCACACCTGATGTAGGAACAGAGTATTATTCATTTTAATTCAAGAAAAAAATCAAGACGAGCTAAATGTTAAAGCTTACTTAGCATGCTTTCTCTATTATCTTCTATGTGTCTTTTTCCTCTACTAGTAGTCCATCTACTTAACACCTTTTGTACTTGGCAAGTGATTGATGTACTACTTAGACACATGGTGCACATTAACTGAGCTACATGGAATTTTAAGCAGAAAATGTGTCTGAAATAGTGTTATACAGCACATGCTTTATAAAAAGCAAATGCCATCATGCCAAACTGGGCTTAATCCTTTCTCCAGATACAGAGCATACACGACTGGATATCTTTTCCATAGCTTTTAAACAGAAGTCCAGTACATAGCAACTAAGTCCGCACCTGACTGCAAAACTGGACCCACTGCTTATTTGTTTTAATAAACAGAGACTGAGAGAACTATTGAATTTTTTTTTTTCAACATAAGCAGATTGCCCAAAAGCCCATGATTTGCATGTAATTAAGAGAATACCATCCCAAAGAACAAAAAAAAATCCCAGCAGAAATACATACCTTGGAAACTTGTGCACATCGACACAAAGTAACTATGTCCAAGAAAGAAAATACTCTGGGAAGAAAGGAAAAGAACAACAGTTAAAATGTTTTATTATAAATTCAGACTAATACAGGGATTCACAGTATGTAGTACTATGTAAAGACACCAGTTATACAAGAGGCAAGTTGAATGCAATATGAGTGTTTTACCAAATTATTTCGCTTACTGAGACTTATGGAATAGTATCATAGCTATGATTTAATACAGTCAACACCAACATATTAGAACCAGCAGGTGCTTCTCCTATTTTCTGTTTCCCCCTCCTTACTACCCAAATGTGTATGAATGATAACAAACTCTTTTTTCTTCTATTTAATTCAGAGAAACTAGCTTATATACCTTTAATTGTGCTACAATCAAATAAATAACTTACACAAATACAGGTGAAGATTTTAGAGGCTGGAAAAGAGTAAGAAATGAATATAGATAATATATAGATAAAATATAGATAAAAAATACATAGATAAATTCGAGTTCAACAATCTAAGTACTAACACAAAGAACAAAGACTCAAATTTCTAAAGGAGTTTCACAGTGACTATGAAGTCTAACACAGTCACTATCTGTTTTTAATTTACAAGGAAAAAACTACAAACAAAAATTTAGCATTACTATTCTGATCATGGAACCAATTCCTCAAGGCTGCCAACTCTTTAACAGTTTTCTGAAAGAAATTTTTCACTGTCAAAAATAATTTTGCTAAATACTGTTTCCAAACAACAATGAAATTGGTTCAAAGGATGTTCTCAGAAAAAAAATCAATAATTAGCTTAAGCAGAAAACACAGATCCTATTCCAAAATAATTTTCTATTACAGAGAATGAAAGATATGAAATATATGAAAGATGTTACTGTAACTCATTTATAAACTGTTACCTGCTCGCCAGTGGACTTTTTCAGTCATCAGAAAAATGAACAGTAATAATAATTTCATCAAATAGTGAGATGTTAACACTGAAGAGCAAACAACTGGTAAGATATGCTTAATTTAATCATGTATAGTTCTGGTTACTGTTTTCCAAGTGGAAATCTAAAGCAAGAGCTCGAAATGGATGCCTACATCTTAAGCGCTGTGATTTTTAGCTGTGTAAGAGTCAAAAAATTTAAGTAAATGAAAGTACTTCTTAAATGTCCAGAAGGCTGTTATGTTTATTATGATCACTTCAGATATCAGTTTTCCAGTATTTCATTAACCCATGAAAATACTTTCTCTTTTTTGCTGTACAGTAATACGTTTTCTCAAAAAAACTATTAGCCATGCAAACAGAAGGACAGACATTCTCAGAAACTATGAAACAACTTATAAAACCCTGGTGATAGCATTTATTTTGATAGCATCCACTTTGCCATTTGAACATCCATTCTGAGGCCTGCCCACTTTAAGAGACTTAGCAGCATTTTATGCACAAAGCACACAATGTGCTCAGCAAGATTACCGGACCATTCAGATGAGCACTGCATTCTCTCTCAAGAGCAGCATTTATACCAATGACCCACCATGAACCCTTCTCCTGAAGTCACCTTTCCCATCCGCTATGAGGCAAATGGCAGAAGATGAGGGTGTGGAGATTATGCTAGATTGCTGCAAAAGCTTCTTGGCTTGCAGAAGCTTCCTCATAGCACCAGTGTCGGAGTGGAATCAGAGGGTTATCTCGATTCATAGAAGGTGAAGGACAAAAGACAGATTTCTACATTATTTGTAATGAAGAAAGGAAGGGTTGTGACAAAACCGTTTCATGATACAAAACTCTTGCCTAAATGAAGAACGTGACATGCTTCAGAAGTGATATATCAAGCTCTACTGAAATAAGAAACAACAGAAGAAATTGTAAGATGTTGAAGAAAGTGTATTTTATACACCCCCACTATTACGAGATGTCTGGCAGTCTGTCTTCATGTTTGATTGTTTACTGCTGTTAAGAGATTTATGTTGATGCATGATTTCTTCTAAAAAAGTAAATTAAAATCAAATGTAGAACAGATGTATGCATTTTTACTTCATTCTGTAAGAAGTGACTTTTTAAAAAAAATCAAAACCTAAAGGTGGTCATTTTATGTTAAAAGGAGAAGTATTTTACTAAGTGTAAACATTCATGATGCTTTTAGGTTTTTATCTTTGATCTAAAAAAGAAACTTTCTTGCAAGGCAGCTCAAGCTGTCCCTATCAAAATAGATAACAACATTAGGATGCCCTATGACCCAGCAAAATAAGAATGATTATTATGCAAATAAATACTATGATAGGTAAGAGATGTCAGTAAATTCTCTTACAATTCTGAAGAGACATTTTGCCAACTTGCTTGAAAACATTTTTTCTATGCTTTTCTATTTATTTACCCTCTATAGTAGAGTCTTATGTGCATACCACTAACACACACTTGCTTCTCTTCTTGCAGTCCCACAGAGCTACTAGCAAATATTTCCCAGTCAGGGAAACTAGCCAACAAGACACAAGACTCTAAGGTTTAAAGTCATTTAAAGTCTTTAAAAGACTTTTAAAAGTCTTCAAAAGAAAGGCACTTGTAATTTTAAGAAGTGGAAAAAGCTACCACGTACATCAGCTGATGGTTGTATAGCACTTCTGTCCTCTATGACCATAGCTACATAGATGGAAACTAATGTAGCCAGCAGCAGGATTAATTTCCACTTAAGTCTTTGGCATGGATTACTACAGGGAAACTGGAAATTAAGTTAGTAGAACCACAGTAAAGTTTAGGATCATCTATTCTGATTTCTGGTACCCCAAGCTATTAAAATCTCCATAGTAATCCTGTATCAAGCTTAAGAAGGAGAATCCACTTACCAACAATCAGAGCTCGTCAAGACTTTTCATCCCTAGGCACATACCACTGTGGACACAGGCCTCACGAGTTTGGCCTTGGAGATCTTTCAAAGTCAGCAGTACCCGCAGCAATGCATGAGCTTCATACCAGAGGCACCAAGGGTTGTACAAGCTCACAGTTCCTCAACTCCTCTATAGTAAACTTGCATTTGGCTAAAGCCTGACTTCCAGAAAAGCATCTATTCATGATTTGAAAACCTTCAGGAGATGGAAAATCATCACCTTCTCTGCTAGTTTGTTCCACTGGTTAATCACTCTGTTAAAATGTCAGACATTCACCTTGGAAATAAGGCAAACTTCCAGCTTTATGCTTTTTTCCTACTTTTCTTCACCAAATTAAAGAGCGCTTTAGCAGTTAGTACTTTCTCCTCATCAAGTTTTAAAGCCACTTATCATGTCATCTTTAATTCCTCTTTTTAACAACTTTAGTTCTTTCAATGTCATTTTCCCTGCACGTTCTTCATTTTTCCAGTAAGTTTCTTCATGACATCAGAAACATGTGTAGCGTTAAAGAATTTGTTTGTATCAACAAAGCTCTACACAGACATAAAGTACGATTCCACTACCTGCATTTTCAGTATCATTTCAGGCCACCGTTAATAGCCTTTTTGACACAGCACCAGACAAAAATCTTACAATACCTTACCCATTTCACACTCACCTCCTCTTCTGAGAGTACACACTCCAGAACACAGCTCTTTCTGTAGCATTACCTAGTCCTGTATATCTATCTAGATAAAATTAATCTGTAAAATTAATCTTGACTGAAAACATCCCAGTTTATCATGTTATTTGGACTTCCTTATGAGTGCCTTTTCTTCCCAGTAGTTTTCAGCTACAGGTCTTTTGCTGTCATCTTTAACTTCTATCTCCAGTGACTTCTGAAGCAGCGACTTCCAAAGCATTAAATTAAAACACTACTGGCCTACCTGTCGATTGTTGCAACAGCTGTTAACCAATCTTGAATCCCTTTAACATGCATTCATATACTGCACACACACAGAGTGCTACTTTAACATTTGACATTTTCATTTTAAAATTCAAATGCTTCAGTTAAACATACAATTTTGGTTGGTAAAGCCATTTGTTTAATCCTCAAAGAATGATATTGTCCAATCACTTATTTTCCAGAAAACCACAACAACCTTCAGTTATATTCCTCCCTCTCAATTTTCTATAAAACAAATCTATGGTGAGTTTTTCCTCTGCATACTGAATATGAGGCTGATATTTCTGGTCATCTCTCCCTTGCCTTGTTAAGTGTTGCAGTCGGGTTTCATATTCTTGTAGTCTTCTGGAATTTTCTTGATGCCCAAGACTCACCAAAACTCAGCATAAGAGGGCCACAGACCTCCTAAACCACCATTTTAAGGCATTTTCACTGTAATTTATATGGTTGTGCCAACTACAAAAAGTGATGATCTACAGTCTCCATCATCTTCCCATGTATTTTCACACATGCTTCATTATTTCTGTGTGCTATGAACATACTGTCCTGTGTCTTTCCAAACACTGAGATGGCGAACTCTTTGTATTTTGTATCCCTCCCCATGGAGCCACGGAAAGAAACAGCTATCTCTCAAGTCCCAAGCATTGTACCGTATATCACCTACGTAGTGATGCAAGAGTCAAACTGCTTCTCTCTCATCTTTGTTAAGTCCTTCCAAATTTGATCCCATAAGGAACAAGCTTTTGCAGTAATGGCCTGGCAACTACTCATTTTAAGTAATTTGATAAAATACTTGTGAGAGACAAGAAACCAGGCCTGTGAGAAACTAAGACAAACAGCCTGGAAAAGCAACCGTTGAGGCTGATTGAAGAAATGCCTCAAATACTCGCAAGACAAAACTCTGAGTCACAGGCTGCTTTCTGTGGAGGTCGAAGCTGATAACACTGCCCGATGTAGCTGGGGGAGAGAGCCCTGTCGAGACAGGACGGCTCTTCTCCGGGGCACCTGGGCAAATTTCAAGGGCCATGTGTCTGGCAAATGACCTTTGCTTCATTATCCACGAAATGCATATTAAAGTTAACGCCCCTCAATATGCTAACGAAGGCTAACATGATCATGCTAATCACATTATCCCATGAAACACCTTACCCCTCCCCGTACATGGGATACATAGGTCTGTGGGTTGACCTTGGGGACAGACCCAAGGAAAGTGGGTATAAATCAAAGGGGAGAAGAAACGACGTGCTCTCTCTCTCTGACCCCCTCTCTCTGCCCCACCCAC